TGTCCTAGGGATGTGGACTGCCTTACATGCCTCCTCCCAGCTGGGAACACGGCCCCCACACTGGCACAGCGCCTGTCCTCAGATCTGGAGGGGCTGGGTAGTCAGGCAGCTGCCCCACATCATTGACAAACTACTCCTTTGGTCTGCTTCAGTGCTCCCCTCGGAGGGCCATTCTGCTGCAGGCTAGCTGCTTTTGCTGGACAGTTCTTCACGTGAGTGCTGCGTTGAGCACTGTCTCTTAGGCTGTGAGTGGCAGGGCACTGAAGGGAACTTGGTGCAGCTTCTCACTCCCCGGATGCTTGCCCCCGCCACCTTCCACACTGGCCCTAAAGGGAAGGCTGGCTCAAAAACCTGAGGGCCACACACGGTGCCGTCCTTCCTGTGGCTCGAGGTGGTCCCTTGGCCACGGGAAGTGCTGGGTGGTGCACCCCCGACCACGTGGCAGATCCCCCTGAGAAGCACCGGGCATGTGTGCAGGAAGGCCAGGGACTCTTTGTCCTCCTCACCAGCCCAGCAGGGGCCCTCGGTAGAACCAAGGTCTCGAGACCCTGGGCCTTCTTGGCAGTGCTGTTTCTCTCTGGCCGTAAATCGCATTCCTGTTGGCACACGTGCATTATCCGTGCGAACCTGGCCACGCACCATGGCGGCTGGCACTTGCAGGATGAGACTGGACAACTCAGCCTTCAAAGGGCATTCCCTGGTGTAGCTCATTTACCCAGTGTAGACGGACCACACCCCTCGTGACTGCTTCTGGAGGGGTTCACATCTGGTCCTGGGTTGCCACCCAGTACGTGTCCCGGCTACCTGCCCTGTTGTAAGTCAGGTAGCACTCTAAGTGTGCAAACTCCTCTGGGTGTGACTCTGAGTGAAACGGGCTTTAGAAACCAGTCTGAGCCTGGGGGCACGCTCAGTTGTAGGGCATCTGCGTGTGGAAGGCCCTCGCACCCCAAACAGAAGAGAAGAACAAGAGAACACATTGGCTTGCTCTCCTCATCACCGCTGAAGTCACGTCAGTAACACTTTCCTCTTGGCCTCATTGTTGCTGTCACAGGAAATAGACTGGGTCAAGGCAGCTTCCCGTGAGTATAAAACAGCACGACCTGAGGAGCAATGGCGCATTTTCCTGCCTGCGACTTGGGCGTCTTTCACTCTCCAGTGAGACACACCTGCCACTTGGCAGGGATTCCTGAAGCCCCTTATACAGTGGAAGGAGAACACAGTTTGGCCTCCTTGTGTTATTTTCAATGAAAATAGGCAGGGCACAGGTATGTAATTATACCCATGTCTTCCAGGGAAAACCCAAATAAAGACAGAATAAAATAATAAACTCCTACTGGATTTATTTGAATATTTTATAAATATCAAAGTGTTAGACTCTGCAATTAATGAACTGTATACCCTCTAAACAGAAGGCGCACAGTCAGTTCCTCATCGAGATGATAATAATGGTGGAGGTGATTGTATTAATGGTATTGATAATGGTGGTGTGTATGGTGGTGGCCATGTTTTGATGGTAATAGTGACAGGATGATGGTGATGATGGTGGTGATGGTGATAGGGTGATGGTGGTGATGGTGATAGGGTGATGGTGATAGGATGATGGTGGTGATGGTCATGTTGGTGATGGTGGTGAGGTGATATAGTGATAGGGTGATGGTGGTGTTGGTGATAGGGTGATGGTGGTGATGATGGTGATGGTGATAGGGTGATGGTGGTGATGGTGATAGGGTGATGGTGATAGGATGATGGTGGTGATGGTGATAGGGTGATGGTGGTGATGGTGATAGGATGATGGTGATAGGATGATGGTAATAGGGTGATGGTGGTGATAGTGATGGTGATAGGGTGATGGTGGTGATGGTGATAGGATGATGGTAATAGGGTGATGGTGGTGATAGTGATGGTGATAGGGTGATGGTGGTGATGGTAGTGATGGTGATAGGGTGATGGTGGTGATGGTGATAGGATGATGGTGGTGATGATGGTGATGGTAGTGATGATGGTGATGGTAGTGATGATGGTGATGGTGATAGGGTTAGGGTGGTGATGGTGATGGTGATGATGATGGTGTTGGTGATAGGGTGGTGATGGTCATGTTGGTGATGGTGGTGATGGTGATAGGGTGATGGTGGTGATGATGGTGATGGTGATAGGGTGATGGTGGTGATGATGGTGATGGTGATAGGGTGATGGTGGTGTTGGTGATAGGGTGATGGTAGTGATGATGGTGATGGTGATAGGGTTAGGGTGGTGATGGTGATGATGATGGTGTTGGTGATAGGGTGGTGATGGTGATGGTGGTGATGATGGTGATGGTGATAGGGTGATGGTGGTGTTGGTGATAGGGTGATGGTAGTGATGGTGATAGGGTGATGGTGATAGGATGATGGTGGTGATGGTGATAGGGTGATGGTGGTGATGATGGTGATGGTGATAGGGTGATGGTGGTGTTGGTGATAGGGTGATGGTAGTGATGATGGTGATGGTGATAGGGTTAGGATGGTGATGATGATGGTGTTGGTGATAGGGTGGTGATGGTGATGGTGGTGATGATGGTGATGGTGATAGGGTGATGGTGGTGTTGGTGATAGGGTGATGGTAGTGATGGTGATAGGGTGATGGTGATAGGATGATGGTGGTGATGGTGATAGGGTGATGGTGGTGAGGTGATATAGTGATAGGGTAATGGTGGTGTTGGTGATAGGGTGATGGTGGTGATGATGGTGATGGTGATAGGGTGATGGTGGTGATGGTCATGTTGGTGATGGTGGTGAGGTGATATGGTGATAGGGTGATGGTGATAGGATGATGGTGATAGGGTGATGGTGATAGGGTGATGGTGGTGATGATAGTGATGGTGATAGGGTGATGGTGGTGGTGGTGATAGGGTGATGGTGATAGGGTGATGGTGGTGATGGTGATGGTGATAGGGTGATGGTGGTGATGATAGTGATGGTGATAGGGTGATGGTGGTGGTGGTGATAGGGTGATGGTGATAGGGTGATGGTGGTGATGGTGATGGTGATAGGGTGATGGTGGTGATGGTGGTGATGGTGATAGGGTGATGGTGGTGTTGGTGATAGGGTGATAGGGTAGTGATGGTCATGTTGGTGATGGTGGTGAGGTGATATGGTGATGGTAGTGATGGTGGTGATGGTGATAGGGTGATGGTGGTGATGATGGTGGTGGTGATATGAGGATAATGGTGAGGATAATGACTGCAATGATATGAGGTGATGGTGGTGGTGTGGTGATATGAGGTGATGTGGTGAGGATGGCGATGGTGATAGGAAGGTGATGTGAGGACTGATTGTGTTGGTGACGGTGAGGATGGTGATGGTGGTGAGTGGTGTTAGCTAAACCACGTACCTTCGTATGTAGGTGGTACTAAAGGCACTGAGGAGCAAAGCTGCTGTGGGTGATCTGCCTCTTCTGTGACAGAGCAGTCTTGTAGTGAGGCCAGCCGCGTGTCAGCGCTCATCCTCTAATGCACATGACGCTTTGTCTGGGGGACGCCAGGAGAACGTGCGAGTCGCTAGGTCAGGCCTGCGGTTGTGCATGCAGAGCTACTACGGGTGGGTCTCCGACTCCAGGCCTCCCACGCTGACGTCCTGACACTTCATGTAACGTTCCTGCTGGAGCCCACGTGGAGCCCTGAGAGCTACTTAAATCGTCATTGTAAGCTCGCCAGATCTCGGAATCTTGGGGTGCAATGGAGGGAACCAAGCTTTGGAGCTTGGGGTACCTGACTGTGCTCTGTGTCGCTTCTTCCACCCGTGGGGGCTAGCTGGGCTTTAAAAGAGTGTGTCCCCACTTCACTTCCTCCTCGAGTGACTGAAGTGGGTGCCTTCCTTCCGACTCTCTGCTCTCCTCTGCACCTTACAGAGTGGTCCTTTTAAAAGCGTGACTCTGACGGTTCCCCATGCTCGCAGCGGCACGTGTGGGCTTCCCATCACTCTCTGAGAAGGAGAGCCTTCTCGGGGTCTCAGGCCTGTAGCACCTCTGTCCCTGCCCACCTCTTCCCCTGCTTGTTGTCCCAGACACTCTGACCTCCTTTCCCTTCCCCCACCCAGCATGCCAAGCAGTGTCCACCCCAAGGCCAGAGTGTTTCCCAGTACCCCCTGGCTCGGGCCTCACCTCCTTTGGGTCATGGCTTGAACTCATTCTCAGCAAGCCTTCTCCAATAATCCTTGAGAACATCACCGTCCATCCCAGCTCCCATCCTTCCTACCTGCATACGATCTGTTACCACCAGACAGTCTAAGTATGTGTTTTAATTGTTCATTTCCACCTCTTCTAATAGAGTTGAAACTCACATGAATGCAAGGCCATTGTTTACTGATCCTTCTCTGTACCTCGAGAGGGTGCTGTGCACAGAAGCAGTGCACTATGTTTGTGAAAGGGAAGTGGATGGAGGTGGAGGGGGAGGGACCTTCACCTCCTAAACCCCTTTCCATTGCTCTGTGGAGACCTGGGATGGGTCCCTGCACTGGAGCTGAGTTCTAGGGGGCATTTGGGCATGCAGGGAACAGAGGTAGACCCTGTCCCCCACAGGGAGGGAGGAAGGGAGGGGCGCGCTGGGCCGGGTGGACGTGCTGCAGAATCAGCAGCTGGCTCTGTGTCTGCTCGGGATGTCCCAGCGCTGACCTGATGGCTGCTTCCCCCAGCTTGGTCTCCAGCCCCTCCACAGTGGCCCCACCCACAGGGACTTGCAGGGGGACTAGACAAGATCTTTTCAGGTAGACAGTGCACCCCGACGTTATTGGAACATTCCCAGATTTCTGGGTCACAGAGATGAGCAGCAGTGGGGTCCCCTGGCTAAGTCAGTGGGGAAATGCAAGAAGTGCCCGCCCGCCTGGGCCAGGTCAGGCTGGCATCAGGTCAGGGTGGCAGGGATTCCACCGTGGAGTCTCAGGGTGGACTCCTGGGCTCTGCAAGTTGCAGTGGTCTTGAAATATCCACAGATCCCAAACCCGGAATGAACCACACGAGACACTGGCTGCAAAAAGCAGGAGGCGTTTATTCTCACACAGGCGCCTGCGGGTGCACAGCAAAACCTCAGCCGGAGCTTCGGTGAACTGGCACACCGGGCTTTGGGGTATAGATCTTTTATAGGGAACAGGTGGGTTAGGTCTTAGCTTAGCACAGCAACAGCCTTCCTATTGGTCCCTCTGAATTCAGCAGTTGAGTCACCTAGGGGGGTAAACTTGTTTTCCCACTTTAGTTCTCAGAAAAACCATAAAATTGCATCCTGTCCTTTTAGTTCCTGTTTTTACCCTGTTTGCTCAAGTTTGGCCCTTCCGGGGTTATCTATATGGAACATCTTGTGGTAACATTGTGCGAGACTTGAAGTGCTACGTGCAGCTGGTGGGGTTTTGACATGGGGGTTGGGTAAGGGAACATCTTGCAGCTTCAGGGCACAGGGGTTAGTTTTCCTAATGTTGGGCCTGGGGCCCTGGGGTCCTTCATTCCCCCCTTTTTTTATATCATGGATATAATCTTATATCCATTGACCCATCTGCTCGGATTCCAGCATTATTTCAGCTGACGGCTCAGCATACTGGTTGGGGGTTGGTATTTACTATTAATCTAATTTTGAATAGGACCCCAGGGTCATAGGCAGTTTTATGATATATTTTTAGGCCCCATTGTTTTTTTTTTTTTTTACCCAATCTTTTGATGCTTTGCCTGCCTGAGTAAAGGTAATGTTTAAGGGGTTGCAGGCAAATGCGGTACATGGCCCTGCCCCGTACCATTTTAGGCTCCTGCAAGAGTCGGCAGAAAGTGGGGGATCCTGTTTTGTTTTTTTTTTTTTTAAATTATATTTCTTGTCCCCGATAATACTTGTCATGTCTGGCTCACAGATTGGTTGGGGTTAACTGATATGGGGAAGACACAGCACAAAGCAAGAAAAATTAACAGCGAGTGAGTCTTATCTTTAGCGGATTTTGGGTACGTTGCAACTTCCATTCTGGATCCGGAGAGGTGTCTGCGGACTCCTGTGGATGTGCAGTCTTTACGTGGGAAGCATGGATCTAAGCAGCGATGCCGTCCACTTTGAGTGCAGTAGGAGTGGTCAGCAGGATAGTGTAGGGTCCTTTCCACCACGGTTCGAGGTTCCTGCTCTGGTGCCTGCGTACCCAGACGGTATCTCCGACCTTGAAGGGATGTGGCAGCAAGGGGGTTTTAAGTTCCTCTTTGTATGCTGCGGCTAGAGGCTTCCAGACCTCGTTCTGGACCAATTGCAAAGCATGCAAATGAGTCTGCATAGATGGGGTGAGGGAGGCATAGGTTTTAGTTTTATAAAAGTTAATAGCGGGAGGTGGGGCACCGTACAGGATTTTAAATGGGGTTAGTCCATGTGGGCCTGGGGTGTTTTGGGCCCCATACAAGGCTAAAGGTAGGAGTTGTACCCAGTCTCTAGTGCCAGTTTCAAGTGTCAATTTAGTTAAAGTCTCCTTAATGGTTCTATTTATCTTTTTTACCTGTCCTGAACTTTGGGGTCTATAACCATAATGTAATTTTTAATTAATTTTCAATGTATTGGCTACCGCCTGACTTACCTGGGAGACGAAGGCAGGCCCATTAAATGTTTCCTTTTTGGTCCTCATTATCAGGATCAAAGGGAGTAAACCTCCGATAAGCCTCTTTTAATTTCTCTAAGAAGGCTGTCGGAGTTTCCTCTGACCCCTGGATAGTCTGTCTTACCTGAGCCAAATTGGTGGGCCATCGCCCTGCTCCATGGAGACCCCCCTGCTCCATGGAGACCCGCTATGAGTAACTGGCGATAGAGATGTAGGTGGTTCTCACCTGCTTCAGTCGCATAGTCCCAGTTTGGCCGGGTTAAAGGAAAAACTTCGTTAATCAAATTTGTGAGTTGGGTGGGGCGCCCGTCGTCCCCTGGCACATTTTTGCGAGCTTCCAAAAGAACCTTTTGTTTCTCCTCTGTGTCTAATAGAGAAATCTTTAATTCTGCTACTTAGGGCTGGATAACCATATTAGCAAACATCAAGTCTACCTGTGTTGTCTAGAAATAAAAGCCTTAGACTAAAACTATTCTAGTAGTTCCTTTGACAGTTATCAGGCATTTCTGTCTAAGAATCTCTCTTGTAGCCTCCAGTCTATTTATTTATGGAAGTTACATTTAATTATTATTATCATTTAAGATGTCCAGGAACAGCTGTGCTTTGGCTTTGACTGTCTTTGCTAAGTGTTTAAGATGAAGCAAGTCAAACTGACTTTTGTTTCTACCTATTGTTTACAGTCAGCTGAGTTATCCTGGGAGTCCTCGGGAACTTCATAGCAGCTTTTCAGTTCTGCTAGTGCCATTTGCGCTAGGATGGGTCCAGGCCTTGTTTGACCATATGGCTTCTCTCAGAAGCATCAGGGATGTCTCCCTTTTTTAATGACCCTCCTCTTTACAGCAAATGCACCATTTGGCTTTCTGTCCTCTACTGGTCTCATTAATCTCCCTGCTCAGGAGGTTATGTGGCCTAGAGTTGCTGAGCCCTTTGGAGAAGTCCCCTATTCCCTGATTCAGACTGACTCAGAGGGCAAGAGCCAAATATTGGTTTTCTTGGCCCTTTTAATTTAACTAATTTTAAAAACTTGATCTTAAACATCCAGCAAATAAATTAACAGCCTTATATTAAGAGCACTGGGCTTTAATGTCTATCTCTCTATCCTGTAGGTGATAACTTTTTATCTTATGTTGACCCAGGTTGTGTTCTTAAAGCAATACCTCTTTAGAATATTAATAGGCAATCCTTAAACCATTTATAAGCAAACTACAAAACAAAACTAACTAGGGTAAAAACATATTTAGCTTATATAATAGCTACCTTGAATTCTGGCAGGGTTATACATCATAATTTCCTGTTTGAGATCCTAGTAATCTTGGCAAAAACCTACTTTTGGACACAACTTTAACTGTACTGAAATCTGGCTTACCTTTTTTTATAGCCATTTTCACATGTAGTGAGATGGGACAGAGCCTTATCTCAAGTAAGGCAGGGCTCTTTATAAATCTCAAGTACTATAGTTCTGAAGCTGATCATTTTACAAAGTTTACATAAATTGTTGTTCAAGTTTACATGAACATTAGCTAACACAACATAATATCACACCTAAAATATGAATTAAAGGCTGAAAGCTTTTAACTTCTTGTAGAAAAGTAGTAATGTACTTTTGTGTTTTGCAATTAAACCTTCACACAGATTAGGCTCTTATTAACTTAAAAATACATAAATTGTATCTTAGAGTAGAAAGTAACATGGAACTGTACATATCTTATTGATAACAAGTTCAGTTATAGAACACAAATGATATAATCGAATTTTTAACATTTTTTTTTTAAGCCTAAAATTACCATACAACTTTAGAACACCAGCTTGATATAATGTTCTTTTGAAGCTTTTACCTTACAGACTTGTATACCTGGAAGATATGAACACATTAATAACACCATAATTACATAAACCTCCTTTTGTTCACATTTTGAAACAATACTTGTAAACTTTTAAATTTAAGCAGAGTTAACATTTTATTAGGGCCTTTTTGAACACCTAGAGAAACTTATAAGCTTAATTTTGAGGACATCTTTACTTTTATCTGTTTACCCAATCTAAATTGAACCGTTTGAATCACGTGAATTAAAGATATTTGGATCTATTTTTAATTTTTTTTTTTCAGGCTACCCAGTTCAAAATTGAAACTTTTAAAATTTTTTATCCCAAGTATTTAAGTTTTCTAGCATGAACTATCTGAAATCAAACTAAACAATTGCTTAAACCCAACTTTTAACTGCAAGATAGTGCAATGCTTTAGAAACCCATTTAGATACCAGATTGTTACAATAAAAAATTATTATTATTTATTTTTTAGACACATATTTAACCTAGATTATCCCTAAGAAACAATTAGACAACCAGATAAGAAAATATCTCTCCAGGTTTTGAACTTTTATTTAATTATGACTTCCATCAGTGGCACCATAGATTTTTCTATGAGTGGACCAGATGTTTTCACGTAGGGGCAACTATAGGTGTAAAATCAAGGGTCTCAGTGTGACTGGCTTTACTGCATTCAGTGTCTTTTTTTTTAAGTAAACAGAGGTTAAGTAAACAGATCCTTAAGATGTAGATAAGGACCCAGGGAACTCCCCAGAGCTAAATGGCTCTGGCAGCTGCTGGGAGTCCCTTAATCCTATCTTTCACCCACAGGATCAGTTCCTCTAGTTTAGGTATTTTTTTTTTTTCTAACTTGTTAGTAGCCAGCTCCCAAAAAGTCCATCCTCTGCTTGCAGTTGTTTCGAGTGCTAGGCTTCCCCAAGAAAGCAGAGTGGGAACTCCTTAAAAGTCCCCTTGAGAGTGTCAAAATTTGTGACTGAAAATTTGGTTCCCATCTCTAAAGTTAATTAACATTAATTTAATAATGAGGACAGGGCTTTGAGAAAAGTCAAAGCGAGATGTCAAAGTTGTTAAATCCCCAGCAGGTATCTCTATTTGCACTCAAACCGGTTATGGGGGGGAAGAAAACATTGCTTCCCTAGTCTCAGTATTCAGCCTTAGATAGAATTTATCATCCGCCTTGGGCTGCATTTCCAAGCAGCCCGACTCCAGGAAGACCCGTTCGCTTCCTGGGGTGGAGGGGCCGGGGAGGAACAGGGACGGGACAGATCCGCCATACCGCTGGGTGGAATCCTCCCTGCGGACTGCGTGGATCTCACCCATGCAGGAGGGGATTCGCAGAGGTCCTGAAAGGTTAAAAGCCATGATCTGGATGGCCATGCGGCCCCAGCTGAAAGACAATCTCTGACTTTGCAAATTAGAGAGAGAGATGGAGGGACTCTCCTGGGGGCCATTTAACTTCGAGGGTGGGCCAATATTGGCCACTCCGTGGTACAGAGTGTTACCCATTTTTTTCTTTTTGACTGCCACGGACAGGTTGTCTGCCCGATCTTGAACGTCTTGCCAATGATCTAGAGTTAGGCTCAAAGGGGTTGTTAGTGATTGTCCCATGTTATTCTCAGAGAGGAAATAGAGAGACAGACACAATGACACAAAAACGAAACCAAACAGTGAGATCGCTGCGCGGCTTCGGTGGAAACCGAACAAATCAGATGGCCTGGGAGAAGTTTGTACTTCTTTGTCGCCTACAAAAATGGTGTAACCCTCGGAAACACCGGGGGCCCCAAAGAAATGGACCCTTCTGATCCCTGGGATGTCTCCCAGGGTGGCAGGGGAGAAGTCCGAGTTCGTCAACTCCTTCTCAAGCTGCCTCAGAATACTAAATGACAGAACTGCCTCAGAATACTCAGAATACTAAATGACTATGCCTAGGATCATATAGTCTTACAGACGCTGCGTGGAACAAAGAACAGATAACCAACAGAACAACAAGACAGTCAGTTTGAGCTGGCCAGCTTACCTCCCAGTGATGTCGGGTGTCCTCCGGATAGGGACCGGGATCGGAACCGGAACCGGGATCTTGGATCTCGGTGGAACCTCCACAATGAAATATCCACAGATCCCAAACCCGGAATGAACCACACGAGACACTGGCTGCAAAAAGCAGGAGGCGTTTATTCTCACACAGGCGCCTGCGGGTGCACAGCAAAACCTCAGCCGGAGCTTCGGTGAACTGGCACACCGGGCTTTGGGGTATAGATCTTTTATAGGGAACAGGTGGGTTAGGTCTTAGCTTAGCACAGCAACAGCCTTCCTATTGGTCCCTCTGAATTCAGCAGTTGAGTCACCTAGGGGGGTAAACTTGTTTTCCCACTTTAGTTCTCAGAAAAACCATAAAATTGCATCCTGTCCTTTTAGTTCCTGTTTTTACCCTGTTTGCTCAAGTTTGGCCCTTCCGGGGTTATCTATATGGAACATCTTGTGGTAACATTGTGCGAGACTTGAAGTGCTACGTGCAGCTGGTGGGGTTTTGACATGGGGGTTGGGTAAGGGAACATCTTGCAGCTTCAGGGCACAGGGGTTAGTTTTCCTAATGTTGGGCCTGGGGCCCTGGGGTCCTTCAGTCTGGAGACCAGGAGCTCACGCTCTGGTGACCAGAGCGCTGCAGAGCGCTGGGCAGGGCGGCACGTTGTGTCAGTCCTCCCGAGCAGTGCGTTTCCTTCAGCACGCCTGAACCTCTCACGCCCACGCAGTCCCGCCCCGTCTTGCTGAGTGCCTTTGGGGAGCAGCGTGCTCCTGGGGTACCTCTGTGTGAAGCTGTTGGAGTTGTTTTTACTCTTATTCCTTCACATTTTATTGATTTTCTATTTAAAAATACATTCTTGACACTTTTTGCTCAGAATTACTCAGGTTTTTTTTCTCCCAAACGATGTAATTTGGGTTTATCCTTAAAAAAAAAAAAAAAAAAAAACAGTAAAGAATTGGGTTTTCCTCTGTTAGAGATTAAAAATAAATATGAAAGATATTTTTAACCTTTTTAGAAAATGTGAAGTTTTATATTTTTATATCTTAAAGGTTTATAGTGTAAAGACCTTTGTCAGGTTCTGTGTAAACATCTGGAGGTCGTTGGGCTGAAACTGAGAGGAGCAGGCAGGACCAGCTGGGGGCTGCCTCGCAGGGCACAGGACCTGCCCACGCCCGGGGCGGCCTCTACGCTGCCCCCTGGGGCTGCCTGCCCATCCCCTTAGCAGTGGTGCGGCCTGGCGGCCAGCCGTGGCAGGCTCCACAGCCGTGTGGTCCTCCTGGATGGCACCACTGCCTGCCCAGCAGGCCCCTCCCTGGTGACAGCTGGACCCACCTACAGTTGGCTTCTCTGTCCTCCAGATGTGCTCATTCGGAGTCTCCTGAAGGACCTGTGGCAGCGCCAAGCTGAAGTGACGCACGTGGGCCCCCTGGAACTGGAGGAGATGGTGGGCACAATTGCAGGCCCCATGCAAGGTGAGTGCCCAGAGGGAGACCAGCTGAGGGGCAGGCGGAGGGCCTGGAAGCAGCAGTCCAAGGTGACCTCCTCTCCCCAGGCCCTTGGCATTCGGGGTGGACTCAGGGCAGGGATGTGGTCGTATGTGGCACTAGACCTGCCGTTCAGCAGGCTGAAATGCTTTCTTCCTGCTGGGGAGATGGAGTTCGTATGAAGGATCTTATCTGTCTGAGGTTTTGCTCTAAAACCTTCTTTCCAGGCTGAGCCTCTGGAGCAGTTACGCTGAGTGGCAGGTGGCTCTGCCAGGAGGTGAGCTCCTCTGTGCTGAGCCTTAGCATTAGGAAGCCCGGAGCGAGGCCACGTCTATGTTTGGATCCTGGGAATAGGTGTTGTCAAACATTTGGACAGTGGAGCCAGAGGGCTTCATCTGACTGCCTGCGCCCACTCTCTGAAGCTGCCGGGGGCAATGGGCATCACCTCCCTGCTGCCTTCACTGATTAGGCAGCCACTGGCAGACAGGTGTTCTCTGACCAGCCCTGTCCCACGGGATTGCTCCCAGAGTTCTTGGAGCCCTAGCAAATTGCCAACTCGATGCCTTGTTGGTGGTAGGTGTCCAAGAATAGGAGCTGAAAGCCAGGTGCCAGGAGCAGGCCTTTCTCCTCTGGGTTGGGACGCAGGCTCACTGGGTGCTGCAGTAGGAAACACAGAAAGGGACAATAGCCTCGCCACAGTGAGGTACGCGCTGGGCAACCACCAGTGCACATCTGCCCACAGAAGGCCCAGGTCCTGCCCAGCAGGCTTCAGGGAGGAGGGGACCTGGAGCCTATGTGTGGCTTGGGCGCAACACACTGGGGGTAGGTCGTGTGTAGGGCGTTCACCTGGAGAGAATTGTTGCCCAAACGGATGACCTGAGTCAGCGGACGTGCAGCCATCCTGGCTGGACACTGCTCTTTGTGGCTTGGAAGAGTTGGCTGTGCAGGCTCAGTGGGCTCTGCTGAGGGTACAGGGTGCTGAGGCCCAGGGCCAGGAGCTGGCAGGCCAGCCGGTGCTGACCTCTTGCCTCTGGTTGAGCTGGAGAAACATCTGCTTTACGGATGTTTCTCGGACACTGTGTCACGCTAGGAGCGGGGCCAGCTCAGGAAGTATCCCTTCTGTTCAGAGGGGCTCCATGACATCCTTTCACACACTGTTTGCTCATGTCTTGTGGGATGTGGCTAATGCTCCTGTCTCTTACAGGTGACGAAGCTCTCGCGGACAAGAAGGACGGGCGTTTCCATGAGGTAAAATGGATGCTGCATGCACGGTGGCTTATGTAAGACCCAGGGGAGGACAGAGATCTTTCTGTTCAAGGATTCTAACATTTATGATCTGCAAAGTGTTTTTTCCCCTGGAAAGTACAGGAGAAATCCTCATAATGTCAAAATTGAGAAAAGCGTAAAAAGTACATACAGCATTGTGTATGCTAGGGTTCATAAAAATACTGTTTTCAGATTCTAAGCTAATACGCATCCATCATAGAAAATTAAAAAGACCCAAAAGATGAACAATATTGATATTCTCAGGATTTCCCAGACTGGGGCTGCAAGACCAAATGAGGACAGCACAGGCCTGTTCCCCAGACCACAGGATCGTGCCTGCTGTGCCTGGCTGGACAGAGCTGGTGGCCTGGCTGCACGCTGACCTGGCAGCTGCTGGCAGCAGAGTCGACTTAAACTAGATTTAAGGTGGTTGAGAGTCCATCAGCAGTTGCTCAGCTGCGGTGGCCTTGTGGAGGCCCAGGCTTGGCGGTGCAGGTGTGGGCCTGCTGTCCTTCAGAAGGGTCCGCTGGGCAGCGCTTCTGCCTCCAGTGCATGCACAGGTTTTGTGAGGTCTCTCCCCTCTAGTCACCTCCACGTTCCTGTGGGCTCTGTTAGTTTTTAGTTACCCTCGCTCAGGAGCCTTGCTTCTCCGTGCACACCACACAGATGCAGAAGCTGACTCATAGTAGGGGCAGTGTCATCATGTGGTTCCTTGAAGCTGTTGTTGGAGTGGGAGAAACGACTCGGGCGAGCAGTTCTCTTGTTAGATCACCTTCATGGCTTAGCAAGGAAGGAAACATGGATTTTAAATCCTGACAGTGGTGGGAACTCTGAGTGGCAAAGGGAGAAGTGGGTCAGGAAATAGTTTCTGAATTTAGGAAGTGGGGCCAGGAGATAGGTGGCACCCCGGGGCTGTGGCCGGGTGGGATGCTGGACCCCTCCCACTGCTGCTTGTCTCCTAGGGTTAGGATCAGGGTTAGGGTCAGGGTCAGGGTTAGGGTTAGGGTTTAGGGCTAGGGTTAGGGTTAGGGTTTAGGGTTAGGGTCAGGTCAGGGTCAGGGTTAGGGTTAGGGTTAGGGTTTAGGGTTAGGGTTAGGGTTTAGGGTTAGGGTCAGGGTCAGGGTTAGGGTTAGGGTTACTTCTTGGACTGCATTTTCAATCAATTTTTTTTTTCAAAAAATAGTGCTTGAATGTTGGGTGTCCTGAGCTCTTACTCATTTACCAACTCTTTCCTTTTCCTCTTAGTGTGAAATGCCACCTAAGTGAGAATATTATCCCCTTTCCTTCAAAAAGCCTAAGGTTATTGCTCTGAAGCCATTTGGAAACTTAAGTGCTGTGCACTGTTGTAATTCAGGATCCAAATTTAAGCAAATATCTTCACCAAACTACTGTTTTGTTTAAATATTGAAAACCACAAAAGGAGAAGTTATGAATGAAACTTAGTCAAAAAGGGAAAGATTCCCTTCAGGGCCATTCCTTAATTTCCTAAATAAATGTGTTTGGGTAAAGCAAGTTGATTCCTGTTTCTGTCTAATGTCACATGTCACATGTCTTGTTTAAAACCACCCTGCTGCATGGTGTAGCAGCAGCACACACCAGGAGGCCATGTCATGCTGCTGAGCTGACATCGGGGGCATCGCTAGACCTGAGTTCAGACTCTGGATCTGCCCGTCACAGTCTCTGTGGTCCATGCAGATTGTATAATGTCTGACCTCTGCAGATCAGCGATCAGAGTAGCACTCATCATGGGCTGGGGGTGATCAGCGAGATGTGTTCACAAGTCCACATCTGGTCTGTGGTCAGTGCTCATTTTGTGACCATCACATTCCTCAGTCAGAATGCCATTAAGAGGGCCAAGGAGCCTTGTGTCCAGGGCTGGGGATGAAGCTGGGTGAGTGCTGCCCCCATGAGGACCAGAGACCCTCCCTTCTGTGGATGGGAAGCATGGGTCCCCATGACATGCTGTGGGGCGCACCTCCAGGCCTCAGTCTTCCCACCTGTGAATGGGGGTGAATGGAGTTTGCAACTCCTAGGCTTTCATGAAGATTGGGTGAGTTCATGCTCTTAAAGTGTCTAGTATGGGGCTTTTGTATTTGTAAGAGCTCAGTAAATGTGAATTATTATACTCATTTATTATTTTTGTGTGTTCATTGCTCCTGGAGGAGTGGGATCTTGCAATCTCAGAGGCTGTTTTTAAATACAGAGTCTAACGTGTACACTGACGATAAAGTCAGGCTCTCCAGGAAGTCCTCAGCCTCGGCTGGGTCGCCATTCTGCATGTAGATATGAGGCTGGACACAGGCCCAGGGAAGAGGCCTGGACTCCTCCCGTGTTGCCGTTTCAGGCCACCATTCTGCCCCAGGCGACTTAGTTCCAAACGTTTCTTCTGTACAGATGCCACATTGTGATGTTGTCTCACAGCAGTTTCCTTCTTCCAGGTCAGCCTCCTGAGTGCCTCCCCTGGGGACCGAGGGCAGGATCACAGGTCTCCACTCTTGCCTGAAGCCCCCACTCTGGAAGAGCTCCCTAAAACAGAAGCCAAGAAACCGGAGGAGCCCGAGGTTTCCCTGACCTGGGAAGAGGAGGAAGCTGGGGTGGAGAATGTGAAGAGCCACACCTACTCCAAACCACTGCCGGAGAAGCCAAGCTCCCAGCCCAGGGCTGCTGGCGTCGGGCTGCTGCAGGCCTGGGTTCCAGGGGCCCTACAGGAGGAGCAGAGCCCCAGGGCAGGGGCCCGGGCCCCGCCTAGCGAGGGCCTGCAGCTGGAAGTGGAGCCCTCTGAGGAAGAGGACTCGGGCTACATCGTGACAGGAAACGAGTGAGTAGGAACTCCAGTGTGGC